CTGGGGGTTGTGTGGGGGGGGGGGGGAGGGGCTGGCTCCAAAGTCTGGCTTTTCTCTCCCAGCAGGCCTAGCTGGCTGCAGACAGAAAACCTGCTTCTGTCCCTCTCCCCTCGCTGTCAGGACTGGGCCCCTGCTCACCTTCGAACTGGAGCTGGGTTTCCCAGGGCTGGAGAAGGAGCAGCAATATGGGCAGTGGTGAGCATGGGAGGCCCCTCATGGCACTTGGGGGACAGGAAACGGGGTGTCAGAGCCTGGAGGGGGGAAAGGAAATGGCAAAACAATAGTATCTGCAGAACCCTCATTCTGGGTGAGGGGCACTTGGAGGCGTAGGAGGGTCCTGGGTTTATTTTACTAATCTCTCTACTTTCGTGTATCTTTTCACAATAATTAATTTTCGTTACAGTGAGATTGCTGAATTCCTTGTGCCAGGCACAATGTTAACCGCTTCTCACGCATTGTGGCATGGAGTCCTCTCAACAATTCTGAGACACGCTGTTTCTGTTCCATTGTACAGATTAGGAAACAGGCTCAAAGAATTTGAGCGGCGGAACCCAAAGTCTCACAAGAAAGTGGCTGCGCCGGGAGACAATCCTACACCCAGGAGACTGTTCCACGCCCTCGCTTCCCGGGGAGGAAAACCTCTGCAGAAGGAAGCCATTCCCCCCGCGGGTCCCCTTCCCCTCCCTGTACAAGGCGCCCCTGTGTGGCTGTCCTTCACACACACACACACACACACACACACACGCACACGCACACACGCACACGCGCGCACACACACACACTCGCTCACACACACACACACTCAGCCACACACACTCAGACACACACCGCGCCACCGCAGGCCTCCGGGAGGGCCGAGCGCTCGGGTTGAGAGGGTAAGGAGCGGGCACTGCGTGGCCAAAACCCACGGCGCACTTGAATTCGAGGCTTAGTGCCTGACTCCTCTCCAGCTCTCAGGAGAAGCCGCCAGGGGGCGCCTCCCGGGCCTGGCTTCGTTGGCTCGGTGGCCGTGGGAAGCCCACATCTGCCCCGCAGGTGCCCCTGCCCAGAGCAAACAGCGGGCCGGGAGCCGGGGCCTTGAGATAAGGCGGGGGAGGCTATATCCGGCATGAGGGCCCGGCGGCAGGAGCGCGCAGGGTTCTGAGGGCGGCGGCACGGGGCGCACCCAGAGGGCTGTGAGGGAGCAGAAGGCGGCCATGGACCCTGTGGGGGCAGCAGGTGAGCGTTTACCCTCCCGAGGCCCTTCACGAGGCCCCTCGAGCATCACGAGAAAGACTCCCATTGTACAGATGGGGAAAATGAGGCCCAAGAAGGCTGCCCACGGAGCTGCAAAGGAACCTGGGACTCCTTGTTCCCCTTCTTCCTTTTGAGTTGCCTGGCAACCTGGTGTCTGTCTAGGAGCCACGGGACCTCTTTTCTTTGCATTCACTCCCTCTGCTCTCTGCCCTCTCCCGCGCCCCGCGCTGAGGCTGCGCTGGCCATTTTTCTGTGGCTGTCTCTTGGTAGGGGGGCCAGCCGCCCCTAACCCAACCGCAGCCCCGCCCCTTCCCCCAGGCCGTGAATGGGCCTATTCTGAGCAAGGTCGGTGCCGCCGCTCACTCCAGGCGGCTTCCCGTCCCGGAGCCTCTCCGCCTCCGCCTTCAGGCCGGTGGAGGAACAAAAATCCGTCTGGCAGAGACCGTCACGGAGGGTGACCAAGCCAGATGTGCCAGCTGCTGGAGGTGGGAGAGCGTGGAATGCTTCCTCTAGCTTGGGCCACGGCTGAGGCCAGCATCCCGCCTCCCCACCCCCCAGAGCGGGGGCGTTTTAAAGGCACAAGGGGCTTTTGCCACCTCCCATCCTTTCCTACTTTCAGAAGCCTCCAGGCCCCCCAATCTTGATTCAGGCCGCCCTAATCCCGCTCTTGGCGTGAGCAAACACCTCACCTGGCATCCTACTGTGGCCCGGGAGCCCTAGAAAATCACAACAGCGCTGCCTCCAAGTTCACCACCTTTCCAACCCCCTCCTTCCACAGGGGAAGGAACTAGGTCCAGAGACACTGGTGTCTCCCCCAAAGCCACACAGCAACGTGGTGACAAGGCTGGGCTAGAGCCCAGAGCTCCTTGGAGGGGTGACTCCATCCTGCGTTAAAATGAACGATTTGGAGATGCCTTTCGGGTGGGGAGAGCGGGCTCCAGGGGGAGGAGCGCTGTGAATAATTCCTCAAGAGCTGGCCGAAGGGCGAGCACCTTGAGGAGGTTCCAGGAGGTTCCCGAGGGGAGGAGAGTAGGGGGAACGTCCCCTCCCTTTTTGGTGGACTTGCTGGTGTGGACTCAACTTGGACAGGGCCCCGCGGAAGTGGGAAGGGCACTGCGGGTCAAGGGCGGACACAATAGGGGTGCAGCCGCGGCTGAGTGCGGTCGCCGGGTCGGCTGGTGGCCTGCTCCCCGCAGAACCCCCAGGCCCTCTGACTCACCTGAACCTGCGGGACGACGCGGAGGCGCGGCCGCGGGGCGGAGCCGGCGGGC